CCAAGCACTTGGAGGTGCTTGCACAGGAGGCCTGGAACAGAGGACCACAAACCTCCATCTCCACAGCGCCGCCACAGAGCCCAAGGGTGAGGGCTGGGAGCGGGGCTGGGGGCGGGGGGGTTCCACTGGGAGGCCCTGCCTAGAGAGGTCGCCTCAGCTGGACATCAGGTGCGACGCGGGAGCTGCCGGACACCCAAGGCCGAGGGGGAACGTGACACGGTCGAGGAAGAAACGTTTTCTTGGCTCTGGGAGGAATCAGTCACGGAAGGGTGCTCCTAAGTGGTGTTTAAACAAAGGGTCCTCGATAGTTTTTATCATGACGGCTGCTCCTTGCTTCGACCTTTGGTAAATGCCACACGCACCTAACTCGGCAGGTCCTGAAAGACAGAGAGGCAAGATGGGCAGCGGTTAGGGGGACTCCGCCCCTGGGTTAGAGCCCTGGCCCCACTGCCTTCGGTGACATGGCCTGGCAAAACCACACTGGTCTGGGCCCGTTTCCTCATCTGTTAAGCAGGGGGGTGGGGGGGTGGGGGGGGCAGTGACGGCGGCAGCTACCTCACAAGGTGGTTGTGAAGTTTAGGTGTTGTGCTCAGAACAATGCCTGACACGTCCTGTAAGGTGCTGGCTGTTCTTTGGGGGAAGAATCTAAAGGAAGGATTGGCAAACCACGGCCCTTGGGCCACCTCCAGCCCCCCACCTGCTTGTGCAAATAAAGTTTTATTGGAACCCCACCGCACTCACCTGTTTACGTTATGTCTGAGGCTACCTCCAAGCTACAAGGGCAGAGTTGAGTAGCTCCAACACTCTGCGTGGCCCAAAAAGCCCAACACATTCACTCTATGGCCCTTTACAAAGAAGGGTTGCCAGCCCCTCATCTAAAGAAAGGAACGAGGGGGCTTGTGCATGGTCGGTGCATGGCTGTTCTGGGCCCGGTTCTAAACCTCCCTCCGGCCTTGCTTGGGAGAAGTCTCTCGTTCTAGCCGGTGCCTCTCTGGGAATGACACTGTGGAGCGACGGCCACGAAACCCTCACAGAACCTCCTGGTAAGGCTGAGTTGTTCCAGGGCTTCCCGGGCCCTGGGAAAATGGAGTCAGCGCCGAGACAACATGCCATCAGCATTCCAGGCTGCAGGGAGCCAGGGTGCGGCGGGATGCCCGGAGGCGAAGCTTTTGTTTAGCACATACATTAATAAACACTGTAAGCCACTCCTCCGTTCCACTTCATGAAGCTCCCTCAGTCTGGAGTGTGAGGCAATTCTGCTATCGACTGATTAGCAGGTGGTGTCAGAATATATAAGGGATCAGAGAGGCAGAGGCGTGTCACGGTGCCTTGCAGCTTCTCAGAAATTCGAGGAGTAAACAGAGTCGACCCAAGGTCGAGTGTCACGGACTCTGGGAGGCAGGGCTGATTTTCTGGGCAAAGGCCTGGCCTTCCCGAGCCCCGTTAGGAGTGATGAAGCCAAGCTCAGGGTAACCTGCTGGCGGTGGTATCGAGAGAGCCAGATTTCAATCATGGCAAACGCGGAGGGCATTCTAAGAGCTTCTCCAGGAGTGCCGCAGGCAGTTTAGCGGCCACAGATGGTATTTCCTGGACACCAGACGACAGGCAGTGAAGTTGAAATATGCCAGTTGAGAAGTTCAGCTAAACCAGCATTGTCTTCGCGGCATCCCGTACACCAACAGCTTTTGTTAGCGCATCCCGGCTCTGCCCTTCAACTTGCGGTTGGTGCTGGTTGGGAATCTGATGGCAAACAACAGCAACTGTCTTCCCAGGCTGAGCTCTTTCTGTAGACAACATCCATGTTGCGCTCAGCTGACATCGGCTCGGTCCCTTCCACCCATGCCAGACCACCCGGTGGCCACGGGGCAGATGAGTATCGTTGGCTCCACTTTACAAACAGCACAGTGAGCCTCTCGCTGGTCATTGGCTTTGGCTGCACGGGTCTCCTGGGCCTCTGGGAGCCATGCAGGTGTTGAAGCAGGGGTGCAGCACAACCCGGGGTCTTCTAGAAAAGTCACATCTGGCACAGCCTGATGGGGGGTATGCACCCATGCTCTAGACCAGAGCTTGGCAAACTATAGGGTCAGCAGCCAAATCCAGCTGGCTGCCTGTTCGTGTAAGTAAAGTTCCATCAGAACAGACACAGATTTGTGTACGTACCGCCTGTGGCTGGTTTTGCATTGCAAGGGCAGAGGTGAGCGGCTCTGATCCACCGTGTGACCCTGGAACACCTAAAATGGTCCCTGTCGCCGTTACAGAAAGCTGAGGGATCCCGGCCCTAGACCAGAGCAGGCTCCTCAGAGCACGGCTTGGACCGGGCCGTAGGAGGGGAGCAGGGGTTTGCAGGCATTTGTGAGCACTTTGAAGACTCAGTGACCACCTAGGAGCCCTGGGCAGCGCAGTGATGCAGATAACGGACAGAAGAGCAAACGCCTGGGAGGAGGACAGACGTGGACTTGGTTTAAGACTCCTTGAGTTGGAAGTCGACCGAAGTTCTGGTTTAGAGGTCTGGAAAAGGAGGAAATATGGGCCTGGAGCTCCCTCCTCTGTTCTCTTGCCGTCCTCGGTGCCACCAGCTTCCCCAACCACTGCGTCCTGTTGCAGCCAGCGGCCACGCTTCTCGAGGGCAGAGACCGGAGCTTAAGGAAGGGGCGGCTGCACTTCCCTCCTCTGCCCCAGCTGCAGGACTCCCAAGGGGCCCTTGCACGGGGCAGGCAGGTATCCGCTGTGGGCAGACTGGGCAGTTTCAGAGTCCAAGTTCCCATCAGGGGAGGTGACAGAGAAGAGTGGTGACGGGGGGACGGCTGTGGCTCCTGACCATGAGGAGGTCCGAGCTAACGTGGGATGCAAAACATACAGACACAGGAGATGACAACATCGATTAATCTATTTGGGCAGCGTGGAGCCTGTACGTGCCAAATGAGGGGTGTGGGCTGCTGCAGAGACCACGCCGGGGTTACAGCTGGCTGTGTGGAGCAAGGGGCCTAGGTCTGTTTGGGGACAAAGCGGTTTCCTCAGCGAGATCCCCCAGGAAGAGAGCAGGGATCCTCTCAGCTCTTGTCACCTGTCCTTGGAACATGGGGCACACTGAGCTTAACCAGAGAAAGGTGGGCAGTTGGTACTTTCAAAGGTCAGCCCCTGGGGGATGTACACGTCCTTCACGCACCCGCCCCACCCCACACCCCTGGGGAGCACAAGCCATCCTTAGGGAGCTGCGGAGGCAAACAGTTCTGAATTGCTTTTAAACAACAGGCTGGCAACATGGCCTTCCAGAAGGAAGAGAGGGACGGGCGTTAGAGCATCGGGGGCCCCCAGCTGCCGGGCATGGCTTCAAATGCCCAGCGTGGCCTCGGATGACCTGGCCTTGGGAGAGGCAGCTTTGGAGTAACTGATTTCTACTTTTCCCAATCCAATCTGGTTGAAGAACTGGTTTTCAAGAGGCCTGCTGTTGCTTCATATGTCCAAGTCAGAGGACATAACCTCGAGTGACACTGGCGGGGTTCCCGGGAAGCACTCCCTGTCAGCAGTAGATGCTCCCAGCTCCACGGGACGATCGTCAACCTGTCCCCTAGCACCTCCCATCCCTCCTGACCGTGCTAAGTCTCCAAATCTACACTTGCCAGTGTGGGCAACTTGAAAAAAAAATCACAAGTCCTAAAGACAGTAACTTTCAGTGGCTCTCACGGTATCAGATCTCAGGGTCTCAGAACAGGCACAACATCCTCCTTCCAAATGGTCAAGAACAGGCAATTCCACACTGGCCCCGTCAGTGCAGCCACTGAGGTGAACAGAGCAACTGTTAGTTAGGTGTCTCTCCCTTCCTCAGAGATGAGATGTCAAGAGGCTGGGCCGTGACGCCATCCAGCTTAGCACGCTGGCAACAGGGGAGGGGAGCTTTTGAAAAGCCAGGTGTTGGCTCCACAGTGATTTAAGGTCAACCAGGAGGCAGTGTGGTAAACGAATGGCAGAGGAAGGGAGAGATCACGCCGAAGAGGGCGCACCGTAGGCTCGGGGGTGCGACATCCCAACTGACCTCAGCCCTCTGCAGCTGGGCACCCTGGGACTCAGCGGGCGGCCAGAGGAGGGGGCGGTGTGCCGGACCCCAGGCTCTCCGTCGGCAGCACAGGCCCACGAACGGCACCCTGGGCTCTCTGGGTCCCCAGCGCCTTGTCCAGCTGCCTTGGACCCAAATGCTTGCTCCCTCATCTGCAGGAAGAGGACGAGGCCAGGGCGCTCTCTCTTTCCGGCACCGAGCTGTGCCTGCACCTGTCCGCACACTGGGCTGCATGCGTGCTTTTACTCCCCTCAGTGCCTTCAGCAAGACCCGAGTGCTGAGGGCTCCTGCTCGGCATCCTCAGTGACAGGCTGGCCCCCCACGAATGCAGGCACGAAATCTGAGCAACACTACAAAAATCCCCTGAGAAAACAAAGGGACATTTGGAAACAACACTCCACGTGGGTCCCCGTGTACGGCGGGCCACCTCTGCTAACATGGAGCAGCTCCCGAGTGTGAGACGGGACCACAAGAAAATTGCTGCGAGGTGTCCAAATATGGGAGCGGCCAGAGCGAAGTCCTGGGAGAGGCTGTGAGGCCCTCTGCCCCGAAAGCAGAAAGCCACCATCTTGAAACCTTCAGACTCGGGATGGCAAAATCCTTAGTGAGTGCTTTTAGAAATACTATGGGTTTTCCGTCTTTATCCCCTCGAAATGTAATTTTTAAAGAACCTCTGAGACTAATAAGAAATAACCTTTCTTTGGTTTACTGCTTAGCTTCTAAAGGCAGAGAATTACTTAAGAAACCAAACCTAACAGTTCAACGTGGCAAAGGCACATTTCAAGAACAAGAGTTTACAGTGAAAATTTTTAAAAAACCCGCATCTTTATTTTTCCCCGAGTGGTAGTGGCGCAAATTAGAGAACTGTTGAGAAAATGGCAGAGAAGTGGCCCACGGTGTTCTGAACCAGCGGGGTATCAGGGAAACAACCACTCAAGCACACAAGTGGCATTTTGTGATCAAATTTATTTTTTGTTTAAATTTCATTTACTTTGTTTTACTGTAATTTACACAAGAGACTGCCAAGTAAACTAGATATTTTACATTCACCACGCATTCCCTCAAATCTCCACAGTTGTTAGAAAAACATTAGAATCCATGCGCTGGGCTCTCATTTCCATGTACGCCCAGCTCCCGATGAGGCTACAGATGCCAGAGAGAGTTAAGTCCATTAAAAGGAGAGGGCGAGACTCTTTATTTCACAAAATTAGCAATAATCTTCTTGCACCAAATGCTTTGCAGACAACAATGATTATGCTTTGACAACACCTATCTTACAACAGTGCCCAGAGAGTAAACATTGGTCTTGATCCTGAGTACACAGAGGACGTATGCAACGTAGGGTCCGGAGCCAAGGCCAGCAGGCCATCGCGGTGCGGCAGTGATCCTGAACGTCCTGGTCTGAGTCACTGCCACCGCCTCGGTGGGGACACAGGGCATGTGGGCAGGACTGTCAGGAAATCAGGTTACAAACTGATATGACCACAGGGGCTGGCGTGTGGCAGGAGGGACGAGAGGTTAAAGACGACAGGTTGTGACCAGAAGGCTTCAACAGTATCACTCTAGTCAAGCCTCCAGGACTGACTGGAGAAAAACTGCTTCGGACAGAGAAAGCTGATGAAAATCTTACCTACTTACGGTTCCTTTTTTAAAGAAAGACGATGACGACAAGGGGGCTGAGGCAGCTTCCCAGCATGTTTGTGACGCTTGCTCATGACGGGTTCCCGGGGCGCTGGCCCCTCAGCAGGGCCTCAGCCTAGGAAGGTGTGCAGACAGGCCGGTGCTGCCCCCCAAGCCCTCCCTCCCTGCTACCTCAAAGGAGCCTTCTCCCTTAGGGTGTGTTTCAATATGAAAAGAGCAACCCTCATCACTATCTGTGTTCTACCACGTAAGCTGTGAGGAATCTAGATCATTTGCATAGTTTCCAAGCTCTAATTTCAGAAAACAGTCATTCCTGAAACAAGACTCCGTGGAAATGCTCTACTTCCAAGTTTTCCTGCAGCCTATGATGCTATTAATTTCTTCATCAATTTCTTTGTTTGCCTAACAGGAGACTGAAAATTGTATAGTGTTTATTATAAATCACAAGCCGTCATCTCCATTTTTGCTAGGTCTGATGTAGAAAAATACTTGAAATTTAGAATACAAAAATCCAATAAAAACTGGAATTTTTTTTTTAAACGATTTCTCCCTCAGGGCAAACAAGTAAAAACTGGTGGGTAACTACACTCCTTACTAATAGACATTGTCCAATTTGAATTTAAGATAATAACCATCCAGAAATAAATCGTTATAAATACATTCAGAGTTTACATTCCAGATTCATTGGAATACCAAAAGATTTTGAATAAATTTTTCTGTGGGAGTCTGTTGCTTATGGGACTAAAATAAAAATTTAGAAGAGACAGATTTAAAAGAACAGAAGAGTAATAAAAGGCTATATATATATATATATATATATTGGTCCACAATTCGACATTTATGAAACATACCAGCTAGTATTACATTGCAGTCAATTTGTCCATTAATGGTATTACTCTGATAATTATTAAAATCTGTTCCAGGTATATATATTGAAAATATTTTCTTTTGCATTCTTGCTGAAGATAGGTACAGTACTTTGGAGAAGTTGTACTAATCCCTTCAGTATGTCTGTATGTACATATATACAGAAGTGCATGTAGTTTCATCTGTAGCTCTACATGCACCTTATATACAGCTACAGACACACACACACACACACACACGTACACACGTGGTTGGAATCTGTGTACGTGGGGACACAGTCACAAGCACACGTCTGGGAGACGTCCACACTGCAAGACACTGGTCAGATTCTTCTTCACTCATCACTGGCTGCACTTGTTCCCCTCACTTGACCTTGATTACGTAACTGTAAGAAAAGCAAAAGATGGTGCAGTGTGTTAAAAATACAGAGACACACAAAAAAATGTTATCATCTTGTCGCACACATTCTCCAAGAAAAACAAAATATCCTCAACAGGGCAAAACTTCTGGCAGAAAAGGTCCCCAACTACTACGTTTTAAAACTGAAATCTCTTGAGGACTTCAGTCTTACCAATGGTGTAACATTTTGTTTCATCAGAGGAAAATACATTCCAAGTGGAAATAAATCACAGAACTTAGAAGAACTTAACAAAAGTAACCATGACTTACATTTTTATTTGTTTTAACAAACACTGCAAAGACAGGGCTCTGGAGGAACCCTGGCAGAGTTCATTCATCCTTCTTTGTAGGACTACTTCTGTTCACGACTGAATACTTCATTTCTCCCGTGTTCAGTAATTTGATAATCCAAGAGCAGGGAGCCCATGTGAGTGGGCAGCAAAGAACCACAGTGAGTGAGGGGAGTGTTTTATCTTGTTCTTTTCCTCAGTAAACATCATGGTTCAATAGTAACAACTGACGATTTGTGTTGACTCACACTGGTGCCAGTATGTCGGGGAGATTTTGAAGCTCTTTTTCCCCCCCCATCTTATCTGGGCATATAGATTCGTGTTAGGGAAATAGGCCTCAGAAATGTTTTAGATTGCAGTGAAAACCAAAGTGTATTTATACACATTAAAGCTAACTGTAAAGGTAGCTAAAGATTCAACATGAAGGAAGATCTCCAGATGTTCAGAAAAACTTTCCACTACCATGAATCACTGAGGTTGGCCCTTATGGTATGGGACGAAGGATCTCTGGTTTAAAATGCTTTTACATGTTTCCCTACTAACCACATATGATCCTATTGAGAAATAGGTCAATTAAGTGGCCATCAATGGAAACTCAGCTGGCTTCTGGGACACCACTAGGTGATGAATGAATATGCCTGGCAGCTGGTTTCTGTCTGGCCCTAACACTGAGAATGGAGACTCCGAAAGTCAACCTGTTCCACAGATGAAACTCTTACAGAATAATAAGTCAAGTGTCCCACGTCAATCTCTAACACATGTATCTCTTTCAATTCTAAAAATTACACCACATTTAACACTTAGTCTCTGCTCAGCAAGTTAACTACCCATTACCACAAAGGTGTTGGTTTTTAAACATTCTTTTTACCCAGGTCTTCACTTACACAGTTTGATATTGCCTCTGACCCTACAGGGACTCATCTAGACATCAGCAGCCGACGTGCCTCGGACGGTACCCTTCTTACGCATCTAAACGTAAAATAAAATCATGAGCTGCCAAAATCACAGACTCTAAATTGGGTTAGTAAGCAAGGGGAGAGAAAGATGTAGGAAAAACTGCGAATGACCACGGTCTGTTTATAACCACATCCACACTGAGAATGGAGTTCTGAGACTCCACTAGTAACACTGGACTAAGGAAAATCTTGCAAAAGGCTTTTCTTGTAACAGCACACAAAAAATGTGCGTGTATTCTTGAGCTTAGGAAAGGGAAGCCTGCACACTGATGATGTGAAATTATCAAAGACAGCCAAGGGTAAACGAACTGCTCGCCAATATAACATGAGAAGGCGCCCTGACGGTCTCAGTCCTGTTTTCACAGTCCCTAGACCAGACAGGAAGCCACGAGGGGTGGCCACCTCCACTGCTTCTGAGACCAGAGCCCCTGACAGGAGTTCTTCATGGGAAGTTTATTTAAAAGAGGAAGGACAAAAGGAAGAACAAGTGAGCACAGGCACAATGTATGAGAAACAAAAAAGGACATGAGGCTGCATCAGAAAGGCAGGCATTCATTACAATAGCCTACAGACAACTTTTTAAAAACCCAATGAGAGAATCAGAAAAGAGTGGACAGAAACGGAACAGATATAATAGCCACACTGCTACAACTCAGCACTTGTCCCCCGACCCCCAGAAGTGCCAGTTGTGACGTACGGGCAGAAGGGCCACCCCAGGTACTTCTTCAGCAGCTGAGCCAACCCCACCCTTCTCTTCAGGATTCCAGGCAGGGGCGTTCCTGTCATGCCTAAGCTCTCAGATGCGGTGCCTTTCCTCCAGGGCCAAAACCCATTTGAAAGAAATCCAAGTCTTAAAATATGTGTGAATTAAGAAGATAACTACATAATGTATCACACTCTGTCATCAGGTGTCAGGGAGACAGGAGTCAAGGAAAGGGGACCCTCTGTGCTAGAGAGGGCTCAGCAGCCGGAAGCCTCATCAGGAGGCAGGTGCTTTCTGGGCAGGTATGTTGGCCTGCAGGCCCACAGCCTGAAGATGCCACAAACCACTTGCTGGGGCTCAGAGCAACAGAGATGTGATGTGGAATAAGGCATTCGCCGATGACCCACAGCAAAGTAAATGGGATTTTACATTATGATGATCAGCATATAATGCTGAAATTGCCTTAAAACGTTTTTGAAATATTTAACAAAGAAACTGCCGTGTACCCCCACCCCACCCCCAAGCCCTGAACCAGCAAGAGATTTCTACCAAGGTCATGTGGGAATCTGTCAGTCTGAACCATATAGGCACAGTAATGAGGTTTTCTAATAAACGGGTCCTCTGTGTAACTATGCGCCTACCTCACAGCCTGACCCGGAGAAACAAGGAGCTGAGCCTGCAGGCCCATGGCAAGAGGCAGGAGCGGGCATCCACACCTCCTGGTCCGGCACTCACTGTGTGTACACTGGGACTGCTCTGATTCCCGCTGTCCTGACACTGAATTTGGCAGGGAGGTAAGAGCACTCCCCTGAGGGAAGGGGTTCCAGCCAAATTCTGTCTTGGGGTTCAGAGCTCAAACTATGGAGGGCTTCATCCCTCACCCTCCCACTGTGACCCCTTCTCCTCATGTTCCGGACAGTCCTTGCAGCATAAAAATTAAAACCAAAAGCAAAAACCTCCATCCTGAGAGCTCAAACCATGAAAAATAGGTTTTATTTTTAGAGCGCTGGTAAGTCCTTTTTGAAGACACCAAGGCTGTGCCATGAGCTTAGGAAGAAGGAGTATAATCGTGCTGCTTTTTTTGGTAAGGTTCAGCTGAGTCTAGCTGCCCAGAGGGGCTGGAGAAGGGCCGGCAGGTGTCTCTGCAGCACGCGGAAGGAGCACCAGCCAAGGCGGAGGGAGGAGGGACCAAAGAAGTACTTCTGCTTCTCAGAGAAGGGCACTGGACTCTTGGAAAAGGGAAGACAGAAGCGGGAAAGAGAGGGGCAAGTAATCATGGTTTACTCGTGGCTGTTTAAATATTTAGGGGACAGCCTAAAATTAAGGGGGTGAGGGAGAGTCGTCCACACCTGCCATTCTGTCACCCTCCTCCCGAGATCCAGAACTCAGAGTCGTACTCTTAGTATGAGATAGAGAGTCAAAAGAGGCTTCTATTGTCTGGCCTCAAAACCGAACTCCAATTTACAATGCTGTCTCCATGGCAAAACATGTTCCAAGCTCCAAAAAATCAACTTAAAAACTTTTGGAACAAAATCCATTCATAAGTTGGAGACGGCTGAAAGTTTACTTTCTGTATAAGATAAGGTTAAAACATTTTATTGCCTTATAAAGAAAATATGTCCTAGTCCTCTCACAAGGTTTGTATAAAGCTAATTAGAAGCAGATCTGCCGTAATCACCAAAAGTAAGCAATTTTAAACACAGATTCTTTACGATGCTGCGTGCCAGACAGATTTTCTTCTGTGCCAAAGAACCGGATCTGCTGCCACTCTCCTGTGATGCACTGGAGGCCCTGCCTCATACCCAAGCATCTGTCAAACGCTCCCACCTGCAGGGCCTCCAAAACTGGGACCACTGGCGGGACTCTGGCTGATGCATGGAGACCACTGGCCCATCCTGGACATTCCCTGGGCTCACGTCCCCCGAGGAGGGCCTCACTTTCACCTGAAAAGCAGCGTGACCCGGAGCAAAAGCAGAGCCAGGCACTTCTAAGAGGAAGTGGGAAGAATCCATGCCCCGCAGAAAGGGGGCGCTCATGCGCTGCAGGGCCTGCCCTGCTCACCGGGGTTGGGCAGGAGCTGGGGTGGGCTTTAGCATCACCGAATTTCTGCGTAACACTTGCTAAAGAGCTAAGGATTAAGTACTACCTGTAGGAGGGACTTCTGGAATGTGTGGAATGTGTGACTCGGTGGCTAGCCTTCTCTGACAATGACAACAAAGTGAGCCAAAGCCACCTTGGTCTGATAAAGTGAGTGTCTAAAAGGACTGTGAGCTAGGTCCCAGCACGGAGAGCTGACGCATGACAGAGAATATGAAACCACTGGGCATTTTACAGGTAACAAACTCCAAATCCATAAAGCTCTAGTCTACTTTCATGCGAGATGCTCAAGTAAAGCAAAATGAGAACATGCAAGGGGATGTTAGTGTCTAAGCAAGTGGATTTTCACGAGGATATATATTTAAAAATGGCCAGTAACAACACTCTTCTTAATTCTAAGTCTACACTTACTCATAAGCACATACACAGCTAGAAAGGAAAAATGAGAGAGTTTCCACAGAGGGGAAGTCTTACTGTTTCTAGTTCTTTCTGAGTTTCATCCTCCATCCTCCGAATGTCTTCCATTGTCAGATCAATCCACTTGTCGATCCAACAAAAAAGCTGGCGATGGAAGTTTGTAAATATCCTTTTTTCTTGCTTTTAAAACAAAGAAGAAAAGTAGTATAAGAGGGCAAAAATCTAAGGTTAGTAACATACTAACTTTCTACTTCCCAATTAACCCATGCAATCTATATATACTTGGAAAAGACCACTGTGTCGATTAGTGGAAGTATTAGTTCCATCCCATTATCATTCTGTAAAACAAAATTTAAAAATCTCCCTGTGAAACGTGACATCTCTCCTAGCAGAGGCCGCACAACGTCCAGGAACGGGGAAATAAACGTGGTGTGCACGCTCTGATCCAACATAAACTTCTGCTAGGCGCGGTCTATATGTACCTTTTTCTAAATCTCATGACCAAGGATCAGCCTGATTTCTTCTACTGTTAAAACTTTACATGGTCGTTCGTAACTTCTCTGTGATTCAGAGGAATATTGTGAGGCTGAATATAATGTGTACCGGAACAAAAGAATCTTGGGTTCTTTGGAGTAACATATTTAAATTAAGAATTATTACATACTCTCCATCAATTTTTCTACTTTAACGTTACTCTCTATAAAAAAACCATACGTTTAATGAGTGATTTTAATTGCTACGTTATTGAAATGTTACTAAAATTTCCCCAGAAGAGAGAAGAGCTCACTGAACAAAAACGGTACTTTAATACTTTTGGACAATCTTCAACTTAAAATTTTTTTTCCATGAACAGAAGGGACTTCATCAATTACATGTGTGACGAACTAGATTGTTAATCTATTACTCTGATCCAAGAGGAAGGAAGGAAGCCAGTGCTTACAGAATGCCTTCCGTGGGCCAGCTGCAAGCAGCCCCAAGAGTAATCAGTGTCCAGCACATTAGGACCCTTTTTAAAAAATGTCAGAGCGGTTATAGCTTAAAAGCAGAAAAATCCTGGTAGAATGGTTACAACCATTTGTGGATTCAGAGGTATAACAATAATAGAAGAAATAGTCACACTACAGGAAATGTAAACACCAAAGAAAGTTCCCATGTTTCTTATATGTGTACAACATGGGTGTTTCTTTACAAAGCTACAATTCTCTCCTCCTTCTAGATCAAAGTGTCCATGTTACTTTCACTCTAATAAAGACAACATATGAAAGAGGTCATTGGAACTTGGGTCCTCAGATTCTGTCACTCTAGCTTCAGACTGTAACTACTCTCAGTAAGGACCTCTAAGAAGACCTCCCAGGAGAAAGTGCAAAGTATGTAAGAAAGTGCGTGTCAAGAGAGCGCGTGAGTGGGTAGCCAGATGAGGTTGGACAGAGGAGCCCCTCAGCAGGCAAGGCCTGACCTCTTCCTCCAGCCAATGCCAGGCCACCAGGTCCCCTTGGGGACAGGCTGCACATGGAGAGGGCTCTCTGTGAAACAGCTGGGGCAAACCACCAGGACAGCACCTTGAACAAAACCACTGCTATGCTCCTCCCCAAAGAAAGCTCCTTAAACCCTGATGGTATCTGTCTGCTGTTTCTGGGCAGAAAAGGGCAGAGAAGAATTATATGGAGACAATAACTGTAACCCAAGAAGCGAGAAAAAGACATGGTAACAGAAAATACCCCATTAACAGCTACCTAAATTTAAGTCTCTGCATTTTGAACAGACTTTACCTTCTGAATGAAGTTTTCCACTTTGCTCTGCAGTCCCCACCACTTGAATTTGATGGTCACCAGCTTATAGGCACACATCTGAGGACAGTCAGGGTTGTTCGCCAGCTCCTTCTAGAGGACGAAAATTGAAAAGGAGAAATCGAGACTTCAATATTTATATTTTTATTAAAAATGACCGTTGTGTAGCGACGTCACAGACATACGTGAAGAAAAGTACAATTTCACATGTGCTTAGTTCAGGTACTTGGAAATTCGAAATCATTTTAGTAAAAGCAGTGGTATTCCCCCGTGGCAAACCCCCTTCCACAGATGAGGTTACTTCTTGGCTCTACAGTTTAATAGGTGCACTGTTGTGCCTCAAATTACACTGTTCAGATTTTCTAATACCAAAGTCTATCCACATCCTATCAATAGTAAGCTTTAACATGTAAGCGGTCACCTAACGCCATTACTGTGCTCTCCCTGTGGAGGAGGTGAGGCACAATAAAGAATGATCAGGAAGTTTAGTCGTCTTCTGTGTCTTTCAGATTCTGGCATGTGGAGTGGCACTGTTTATTAACTGAGGTATTTTCACAAGGGGGATCTGAAAAGGGATGCAGCAGGCAGCAAAAACGGTCTATAATTACCAAAGGTTTGAAGGTAGTCCCACACATCCCAACTTGAATTTCTATAAATGGTCACAGCCCATCGTTTAAATGGCATAGTCACGGAATCAAATCAAGAGTTGTTCCGGTTAAAAAAAAAAAAAAAAAAAGGGAGGGGGGGACATTTTTTTTTTAAAAAGCAACAAGGGAGAGAGATGAGGGGCTATCTGGATAAAGAGAGACTAAAGAAATATATAATGTCTATATAATGTCTACAATTTACTTTCAGAAAACATTAAAAAGCAATTAGAATTTGGAACCTCAGATTATGTCACCCTAGGTTCAGCCAAAAAAACTTTTAAATATGTATTTGTGTCAAGACAGGGGGAGAGGGAAGGAAGGGAAGAGAGGGAAAACAAAGATGGTGAAGCGCTAACGATGGCCAAATCTAGGTAGAGGTGCTCACTGTTACACACTTTCAGTGTTTTGCCTAATTTTGAAACTTGCGTTGTAAATGTGCGGCAGGGGACTGCAATCTATGCTACTACTCCCCTTCCCTGGGAGCCCAGGACAGGCTCTGCCTTACTAAGTCTAGGGCGCTAGCATGTTTGTTTGGGGGGAAGGGATAAGGAGTGGGTGAGCCAGGAGCTTCATGAGACCGAGACAGTCCTGGGCAGACCCAGAAGAGTGCCTGGGACTCGGTAAGCAGACACGGTCCTGCCTCTGGAGCTCCCAGGCTGTATGGAGAGCAGGTAGCTATTGAAGAATCACAGACTGCAGGCACATAAACTCTCAGGGAGGTGTTGGTGCACTTGGAAGACAAAAGCTACAGACCCCTGAGGGGACTCAATCAGGTGGTATAGCTGGGGGAAGTCAAGGGGTTACCACAGATTACCTCACTCTCCTCCTCATTCTTTCAGAGAGTAGGAATTACCGGGTTGAATTTGCAAAACAATTTTAAATAGAGTTTCTCAAAAGAGTACAAAGTCATGTGCAACACCATAAGGGCCCTTTTTATAAGAAGAATCGCCGGGGGAAAAGGTGAAGCAGCCTTTCTCAAGGGTTCTTCCCCGTCGTTCACCACTGCTCTCAGCTTCACACCACATTCAGGACATCACTATGCCAGCATCGCGTCACACCGTGTGCCACCGTCCCTTCTTGTCAGTTGCAACCCTTTCATGCGTCCACCTTCAGTACGTCCACTGTGTGTAGCCAACATTCGTTCCATTCAGCCATATGTACATAAGTTCGAAAAATGACGAATTCCTAGGTCATATTCTAAAACCTCAAAATTATTCTTCATTTATGCAGTCATAGCAGACCACATTTCCCCCCAAATCCTCGGTAACATTCCAGTTTCAAGTGAATTCTCAAGACAAGACAGATGGAAAAATTCTATCTTGGTGTTATTAATAGGACTCTAAGTTCTACAGAGTCCTGCGTGATTGATCAACTTCTCTCAGAAAACCTCTGCTGTTATAACATCTCATCTTTTTAATGAGCTGGTACAGGGGTTAAATCAGCCAGGTGCCACCACATGCATTTAAATAAAAACATGACATACAGCAAACTGTCCTTGAGCAGGTGAATTCTATGTCAACAGAAGAACTTGGTCAGCAGAGCTCTATCTTCCCATGACATCCCCCCCATAAAAGAGTACTAACGTGCACAATCCCATACACTTTAGGAGCAAGTTTAATTCAGCAAGTATTAAGAGGGTGCCACTACAACCCCATCTGTGCCAAGTATTGTAAGAGAACACAAAAGTGGTGGTGGAGAGGCGAGTAATTGCATGTGCACAAATAACGATAAAACCACTATCTCTGGTGCTAATCATCTCTGCCAGAAGGGCCACCCTTCTGGTGCTGTGGTCTGAAACACACTTGCAGCTTCCCCTCCCTGACCCGCAGGCCCCACGCACTTCAGACGGGCTCCTGTGTGTGCAAGTAGCCCACCAGCCTTCCACAAGACATAATTAGATTCTGAGTGCCCAGCCTCACCGAGACCTTCACAAGGCTGGTCTTTCACAAATCACTTTTTTCCGGTAAGCAATGAGCCGGCATTGAGGTACTCTCTCAATCAACGAGTAGCACTGAAAACCTTCATAATGAAACACAATTTGGGTATATGAAGAATACAGTACTTAAAATTATGAGATATACCTGCTAAACAGTAGCATAAACTAGGAGTAAGGGGATGTGGGTTGCAATTCCCATTATGCAAGTAACTTCCTATGTTAGGTGGGTAGGATCCTTCACCTCTGTGGGCCTTGCTTCTGTCAGTAAAAGGAAAGGCTGGGCTCAACTTTTCATCTTCCACTGAGGCGATGCTAAAAGGTAAGTGAACTTTGTTCCTCCAGGGTCAGAGCTGGCACACGTCCTTGGGATCCAATGGCTTAAGGCTTCCTATAATTTTGTATTTGATTCCATAATGGGCTTAGCAAAGTATCCTCCTGCCTATGCACTTGGGCTGAATATCCTCTGCGGCTAAGAACCTCTGATGCACCGCTGATTTGCCTTAAGATACCTTCCAGAAGGAACATTCCAAGGCCCTATTAATTATGGGCTGCTGATATCTTCGTTCTGAAACTCCAAATCATTGGACACCTTAGTGTGCTAAATGAAAACCCTGGATGTTTCCAGCAGAACCAGACTCCTCAGAATTCTCCTCCCATTTTATAAAAATGGCAGGACAAAGCATGGATCTAATTAAAGGGTAAGCTAAATTTAACACAAATATGCTTATACCACCCTTGGGCTCCAAGAGCAGAGCATACACACACAACTCCAACAATTATCTAAGTTTGTTTCTCACATGCTTTCTCGTGACTCTGGCAGTCTGCTCAAATCAATTAAGAGAATACTGGTAATTTACAAACACTAATCTATAAAATTTAGTTTAAGTCATGGGACAGAATGAACCCATTCTCTGAACTATCTTCCTCAAATCTAAAATACATATTCCAGTCTCATCTGCTTTTTTGTTTTTCCATATAACTTACAAGTGGGGTGCCTAGGTGGCTCAGTCGATTAATAAGCGTCCAACTTCAGCTCAGGTCATAATCTTGCTGTTTGTGAGTTCGAGCCCCGCATCAGGCTCTGTGCTGACAGCTCAGAGCCTGGAGCCTGCTTCCAATTCTGTCTCCCCCTCTCTCTGCCCCTCCCCCACTCATGCTCTCTCTTTCTCTCAAAAAAAAAAAAAAAAAAAACCTAAAAAAAAAAACCTTTACAAACGATCATTAAAAAAAATTCAGAAGAATATGTACCAGTTAAAAAACAAAAAAGTAAATGAACAGCCTGCTGCCTTTATTTTTTAGTGTAATTCTTTACAGCATCAACACCTCACAGTATGAGGTGAAGATGATTTATAGAAACATAATGTCAAATAACCACAGGAAAAAATGGAGAACACAGAAGCTATATATTTTTAATATATATATTATTAATATATATGTGATATTTGGGGCACCTGGGTGGCTCGGTTAGTTAAGCGTCCAACTCCTGATTTTGGTTCAGGTCATGATCTCACAGTTGTGAGACTGAGCCCCGTGTCAGGCTCGCACTGGGCAGAGAGCCTACTTACGATTCTTTCTCTGCCCCTCCCTCCCTCTCTCAAAAAAATTATTTAAAAAAATATGTGATATTTAAGGTCTCATTCAGTTCTTAAAAAGATTCACACAATTCACCTCCTAATGTGAACTATGCATGACCTTATGACTAGTGATTAGATTAAGAAATGGCTTGAAACATCTCCATTCTTAGGGGCATCTGGCTGGCTCAGTTGGAAAAGCATGGGACTCTTGATCTCAGGGTGCTGAGTTTTAGTCCCGTGTGTTGGGGATGGAGATTAAACAAACAAACAAAAGTCTCCAGGGGCGCCTGGGTGGCTCAGTAGGTTAAGCATCTGACTCTTGACTTCAGCTCAGGTCATGACCTCACAGTTTGGTGATCCATCCCCATGTCGGACTCTGCACTAACAGTGTGGAGCCTGCTTGGGATTCTCTCTCTGCCCCTCCTCTGCTCTTTCTCAAAATAAATAAATAAACAAACATTTTTTATAAAGTTCCCATATGTAGTGAAAACAAAGAAATAAACACTTAGGAAAAGCACCCATACGTAATAAAAATAAAGGAATAAACAGGAAAAGGCTCCACACGTAAGGAAACAGAAATTAGGGAGACTGCCTAGATGCAGTTAAGAGCTGACACCACCCTGCGGCACCCTCCTTGGAGTGGGATCTGACCCTGTGCCACTAAAACATACCCGATGTATGACCACATACCTACCCTTTAACCATGTAATTCCACTTTCAGAAATGTATCCCAATTCATCAGTAACACTACAGGTCTATTTATAAGAGCAAAACCCTGGACTTAATGGTGAAGCACTTCATAACAACAGGCTACGACATACACAGACATTAAAAACCATTTTTTCAAAGAAGGCCTAACAATGTAAAGATTTTTAAAAGGCATAATATGAACATAAACAGCTACCTCTATGCATGGTAGAAACAATTATTAACAAA